TTTTTTTTTTTCCCAGTGGCCCTAATCCTCTTCCGTAGAGGGTTGACTTCTAACACCAAGCGTTCTTTCTGCATGTGGCACAGAGAGAAAAAACATTTTTAAATGTGTCTCCTTCATTTTATTCCTCATTCTTCTTAGTACCGTTCAACACTGGACATTTTTTTTAGCTGAATAAGTCATTTTTTCTTGAAGAATAAAACATTTTTTATTTCAATTTTCTTATTTTAAGTGTAAAAATACTCATTCCATTGGCAAATCATCTTATTTACCTGCTCAAATTACACTAAATTTAAGAAATGTTGATTTATTTCTGGATGTTGTTGTGGTGAAACTTTATAGTGAAAAACGTTACTTGCTGTAGGCGAACAGTCAGTACTTTTACAAGTTGCATTTAAACAAAAAAGAAAAAAAGGTGTAGCAGCTGTTCTGCATGTCAGGAACCAGAGAGAAACTTTGGAAATGCGTTCTCAACACCAGCACCTGGCTTAACTATCACAACAACTGCAACTTTTATTTTATTTATTTGACTTTGCTTAAATCCAAAACATATTATTTCTTAAGATACGTGTGAAACTGCCTGTTAGATAAGAACAACCCAAATAGTCCTAAAATGGTTTTTCCTGCAGTTTCTAGAGATCTCAGATCCGTTTCTCTGTCCTCTTTGCAGGTTCTAGCTCCTAGCTAAGCAGCTATATTCCTTTACTCTGTAAAATATTTGTTCTTGGATTGAGGAGGTAAAAAGAGACATTTTGCCGATGAAACAAGACAATTTACTTTTAAAATAAGAAAAAACAATTGCATTGAGTATTTTTCAAGTGCATATTATGTAATTATCTTATTTCAAGAGTAAAAATAATCCTTCCATTGGTAAACTATCTCATTTACCTGCTCAAATTAAGGGCAAATACACTTAATTTTTTTTTTTTTTACTTATTTCTAGACTGTTTTTCCAGTGTGAGTTAGTTTCTTCTCAGACCACCTCCCTCTTTAAACACAGGACCACCTCCACAGTTTGTTTAGGGAGGTTCTGCATCGAGGGTTCAGTTCTGGTCCAGTCCAGGGATCGGTCCAGGACACGATAAGAAGCAGCAGATGGCTAAGTTAAGACAGATATCTGACTGTACTGAAGCTCCTCTTCCAACAAACCTGTTATTGTTTCAGGAAGATAGATGCAGTCTGAACCCAGAAGAGAAGTTCGGTCACAAAAGATTAACTTTGTTCACCAAGAATCCGCATCTCTGTGCTTCTTATAGATATTTATACACAAACACTCTAATCTCCCCTATTCTTTAATTTTATCCATCTTTACATGTTTGCTTCTGTTTTTAGAGAAAAAGGAAATATATTTCCAACTTTTTCTTTCAAAGCCAAAAGTATAATTAAGATAAAAATAAAATTCAAGCCAATTATTTTTTTTTTTTTTAAATTAAAGGAAAAAAGGTTACCTCAGGATGTGAGTGAGGGAATCAAACAGACAGTTGAGGACGGACATCAGCATCAGCTGCAAAACACAGATCATAGAAATTAAAGGATCATAACGCAAAGAGGAGTTTGCCCCCTGTGGCGACGAGATGAAATGACGCCACACGTCACTGCAACTCCACAGGTCTTCTGTTTACAATGGCTAATTCAGACACTTAAACAGTATCAGAGGAACTTTAATCTTAGAGTATATTTTATATCTGTAATACACTGCCTGGCCAAAAAACAAGTCACCACCTGGATCCAACTAAG